AATTTGACCTACCAATCATGTTCAATGTATCAGCAAATGTATACACGTCCGTGTACTTCATGGAATAAGAGAAACCTTTCCGCGTTCTAGATAATGATTTGAACTCTTTAATATAAATGATATTCAGTTTGAAAGTTTGAAATGCTGAAAATAACCTTTGATCTTACCGCTCCTGGACATGAAACTGTCTAGCATAAACCGATACGGAAAAATGATATGACTAAGAAAGTCCAATGGTCTGCCTATGAATCAGCATTTAATGCATTTCCAGTGCCGACAGATGAAAACTTGGCTCATTGTTGAGGGGCAAGGGTCATACGGATCTTTCAGAGGTACAGAATGGTTAAATGAACAGAACATAAATATTCAATTGGAGATTCTACGTGGTGATGTTCAATTCGACATATATATCAGTGACCATCTATAAAGTTTATGTTAAAGGCAAGCGTGTCTAACGAAGACATCACAAGGGATAAACAATTGGACAAAAAGGTATATAGGAGAAATGGATACGAGATGTACTTTGATATTTGAAATGAGTCATAACCGTCCCAAAGGTTATTTAGAATAAATTGGCAAAATGTGTCTGCACGGGGGGGGGGGGGTGAGAAGCCTGACCGAAGGTGAATAAGCGATTCAATGAAATGTTATGGACATTAAAACAACAACAACAACAGCAACAACAACAACAACAACAGCAACATCAACAGCAACAACAACAACAACAGCAACAACAACAAAAAACAACAAAAACAGTAGAATGGAATTAAGTGTATGAAATATTTTGGGAGTTAAAAATTCCGTAGTGTTTTTTTCCACGCATAAAGAAAATAACTGTTTCTTAAATATATATGTTATCTTCTTATTTCCACACACAAATATACACACACACTCAAATATATACATATATATATATATATAAAAGGTAGGAACGAAAGCTCTCTCCGAGTTTTGAGGAGAAAATGTTGAACAAAATTTATGAAAGAATTTCTATTTTATGTTGATTCGTAATGCTACTATGAGTAATTTATAGCTTTTTCTTTCAGATTATAAAAATATTATTCACAATATATTTCGTAACTTGCCTTTATGTCGTCTCATCTAAAGAACATATTAGAAATCTTTTACTCTATGATTTACATAAAGGTGTCAACGCAAATCCATCCAGCATGCATAGGGTCGATTCATTGAGTGAAAGATATTACAGGAAGAGGTTTTGCCGTTTCAAAACTGAGAAATTTTGTATATAGAACTATTAAAAGAGGTTCGTCCAAAAGGACTCAATTCAGATGATTTGGAAGATGCTGTTACAGGAAATTCTGCCAACACGGCTAGGGAACTCAATGGGAAATTTAATGTTAGTCACGGGACAGTTCGACGCGAATTACAAACGGTTGAGACGGTTTTTGTAGTTGAGAAATGGGTCGCGCACGATCTGTGTCCAGAGAATCGCCAACAACGGGTCGATTGGTGCGAGTCATTGCTGGCACCACAACTTCAAGTACCCTTTTTTGAAGGCTTGTTACTGGTGATGAGAAATGGATTCTTTACCACAATGTTAAGTGCCGTCGTCAATGGATCAGTCGAGGAAACACAACGGCTCAGCAATCGAGAGTCGAACTTTATCTAAAAAACTATCGGGATATTGAGAGAATCATCTATTACGAACGGTTAGACAATAATGAAAGAATCAACGCTGATATTTATTACCAACAATTTCGTCTTTTGAAAGCAGCTTTGGATACAGAACGTCCATCCTTAGTCAATAGTAAAGAAGTAAATTTCTATCAAGATAACGTCCTTCCGCCCACTGCTCGATCTCATAGAGGAGCTTCATCGTTCATATCCTTCTGATTATCACTTGTTTAGGGTTGTACAGCCATTTGGATTGCCTAAGGTTTATATCAACTAAAGGGGTTGAACATGGGTTGGTCTCATATTTTACATCAAGACCTTAAGAATTTAACGAATGTGGCCTTTATAAACTTTTTGACATATGGAATGAGACTCTAGGAAGCAATAGATGTCATATTGGTGACTAGCTTAAGAGTCGCCTATATCAGACGGTATTTAAGTCAGCTCCTGCAAAGAGCTCTTGATTGAGCCTACGGCTTGTTCAGGAGTTTGTGAGTCCCTAAGCTTGTGCATATTCTCAGCATTGGAAGCTCTCCTGGCTGTCATTTGATCTGGGTTTTCATTTACACGGAACTTTCTTTTCCTTGCTGCAGTCTTGGCTCTTTTGATTGTAATCTGGTCCTCTGTTGACGGAGATTTCTTTTTGTGAGGCATACTGCTGCCATATGCGAGAGTCAACAATAAACTACAAAATAACTCAAAATTAATCGCTGCATTTAAGTCTTACAATAATATATAAGATCAACGATAATTCTTCTGCTGCTACTTAATGTAAAGACAATTTGATGTGCATAGGTCATTACTTTATGTACAGACAATTATTTTTATTATATATGTGACTTCCGCTGGATTTCGCAATTAATTTCGTTTATTTCCAAATTTATTCCCAAGTTAGGAAAAGTGATTTTTATACAAAAAAATTCGTCGCAAAAATCACTTAAAAAATCGCTGAAAATAACCACAGTAATAAAAACTTAGGAATCCAAAATTTATGTAACATGAGCTATTAAAAGTTAGAGTTGTGTCCCTTTAATTGAAAAAGTGTAACACAATGACATACTGGCATTCGCATATATTATATAGATTAAATATTTCTATAAGCTTTGGTAATAGGAATATTTCTGTTTCCTTATAAGGAAATACTCTGTATTCATTGACCGAGCAACCAGTACTGATGTCAATTGATATTTATAAAATATATCCCTTACAAACATTTTTCATGAAGATAGTTTCCTCAAATACAGTCACTCTTTCTCATGCTTTATAGCTGTTCTTTATACTCCTTAGTACATTTCGTCTTTTTATTATCTACCCTAATACCTTTTCTGCCATCCCCTGACACAAGCTTGTTCGTTTGGTTATGTGCTATTTCCTTCAATCTGTCCTGTGAGTATTAAATTTTCCAAGCCCTCTTTTCTCATTACTGCCTGAGTAATAATAACTGTCTCTTTCTGATATCAAGTAGAAGTGTCCTTTTTGTCTCCATTTTCTCTAAAATTTCATCGTTGCTCACATGTTCCGTCCATGGTATTCTCAGCATCCTTCTGTAGAACCTCATTTCTGTTGCTTCAAGTTTTTTCTTTATCTTTGAGAAGATTGTCCAATATATTCTGTTTAGCTGCATAGCAAATTCTATGTGTTATTTAATGCCGAAATCTAAATAATTTGTACATAAGTTTATACTTTCAGGTTTAAGGTATGTTTTTTTAATATATATATTGTAGATCATAAAATCTATTGTTGAATGATAACAATAAAAGAAGTAATACAGTAATACAAGTACTGGATTCAGTTTATTCACTTTTATTGACGGTGTCATACACAGAAAAGGTCAGTAGGAGCTCGTGTCAGCCATTTGAAATAGAAAATTATATTGTGTGTGGGTGACAAGACTTTCGGACCACTGTAGTTTCCATCATACTAAGAACGATACTGCCATATAGAAAGGGCTGATATTACGCAACAGTTTCGTACGCTTTACCTTGTTTCTAACGAAAATTTCCCGTTTCTAAATACTTAGCTTTTGGAAGGCATCTTTCACTATCCCAGTGATCCTTCTGATTTCGGTGCTGTGCATTGCGTCCTCTTCAGAGAAACCAAGTTCATAATTCTTCAAATCAAAACCGGAATTGTTTTTTTTTTTTTTATGATAGAAAATACACTTTTGCTTAAAGGTTAGCGTAAGATAATAAAAAAAAAAAAATGAAACCACTCCAAGAAAATTACGTTTAATGACACGCTTGAGTCAATATGGAGGCTAACAGCACGTCAATCGATAAGCTGCTTAACAAGGGAGAACGATAGTTTTAATCACTTTAAATCGGCAAGTGTATCCGGTTGCAATCTTCGTTCGAATAGAAAGGGCTGTACGGACAAAGCTCTCACAGGAAATAGTTTGTCTTTCAGGCTGTATTGAAGATTGTCCACTCGCAAACGAGGCGGCGAAAATCAAATTCGTAATTAGACGAAACTTTCCTCCGGCATCTCAAACCGTGAACTGAATAACCGTCAAGTGACAATAGAGATGCTAGCAAGAAATTAACGTAGGAAATTACTTCCTCATCTTTCAAATCATTGACATATTTTTGCTTTCATCAATTTAGAGCAAAAGCGATGGCTTTGGAAACTTATGACAGATGCTTGCACTGATGGTTATTCGTCTTGACGTCTACCTAATTGCCAATCAATGGGTAATTTCTAGGCATAGTTTGCAAATTATTTCCCATAGATAAGATTAATCAAAGTATCTATATAAAAATGATAATGGTAACTAGCTAAATCTCCGTCTTACGAAATTTTTCCTTAATAATCATTTAAAAATAATTCAGCAAACGATATTATTTTATTTATGGTAACTAGATTTTTGGCGATTGACTTATTCGGTTTCCGGTGTTTGATACTGTGCGTCTGAAAATGCCCTTTTTTTTTTTCGTTGTCGCTTACGTATCGGCATTGCGCATGCGTTCAAAATGTAGTATCTGCGCCCGGTATATAAATTATATATCTTCTCTGAATTGTGTCTTTCTCTTCGGACAGTGCGTATCGCTCGTGTCTCAGTCTGGGACAGAGCGTAACTAAAAATATTATATAGATGTACCTTGTCCCGGAGAACAGCTACCCGCAGAAGTAGCTCCCTCATTGCAATGAAGAGGGGAGATCGGCAGCAATACTGATGCCAGCACAAGTGAAGCTTTCGTGGACTGGATTATTTTTGGACCAGGCGCAAGTGTACACTCCTTGGGATCCCCAAATTAAACTGACCTCATGTCACATCCTGCTATTGTGGGGCGCCAAAAAAAGATATTCTCTTCTTGGTCTTTTGGATGGGATCAAAGTGCAGCATCTTCTCTCGGGCGGATAAGTATATGTTCTTATCAACTCAATTTGATTCTTTCTCTCTTTCTCTTTCTCTCTTTCTCTTTCTCTCTCTCTATCTATCTCTCTCTCTATCTATCTATCTATCTCTCTCTCTATCTATCTCATCTATCCATCTCTCTCTCTATCTATCTATCTCTCTCTCTTTCCCATCTATCTATCTATCTATCTCTCTATATATCTCTCTCTCTATCTATCTATCTATCTATCTCTATCTCTCTCTATCTCTATCTCTCTCCATCTATCTCTCTCTATCTATCTATTTCTCTCTATATCTATCTATCTCTCTATCTCTCTCTCTATCTATCTCATCCTATCTATTTTCTCTCCATCTATCTATCTATCATCTATCTATCTATCTCTCTATCTCTCTATCTCTCTCTATCTATCTCTCTCTCTCTCTCTATCTCTCTCTATATCTCTATCTCTCTCTATCTCTCTCTATCTATCTCTCTCTATCTATTTCTCTCTCTCTCTATCTCTCTCTCTCTCTATCTATCTATCTATCTATCTATCTATCTATCTATGTCTCCATTTCTATCTTTTCTTCTCTCGTTCTGTGTTTTTCTTCTTTCTTTATTTTCTTCCTTTCATTTTCTACAGTAGTAACTTTGCCTCTCTTTCCGCGCGATCAAAACAAAATAGTCCATTACTTATTAGGTATTTGCCGGGAGTAACGGTTGTGCTAACGGACGAAGGGAGAAGATTGCACACTTATAATAGGATAACAATCCTGGATTACATATACAGAAAATATCATCAGTGCAATTATAAAATTACTTAAAGATAACAGACAGTTTTAACAGTACCTGTAAAGCTGAGCATAGATAATTTTGTGTGCGAAAAATGCTATGACGTAACTCGTAACTCACAAGAAAGGTGAATTTCACAATTACAGAACTGGCCCCAAAGAAATAGGATCAGTTTTCTGGTTTGAAATCATTTGTTTTTATTTCTGTTTTAAGTGGTTACATAATCAAATCTGATTCACAAACCCAACATAAAGAAAAATCCAATTATACGTCTTTCGCTTTCTTATCCGCTTCTCTACCACTGAGCAGTAACTGCGTCGCAAATAACCAGATGAATGATTTATTGGTCATGTATGTTTAATGCAATTTTGAGAGAATGCCACATTATTAACCTTAATTTCATTTGTATATTCCACACACGCAAAAAGTATAATTGGCTTGGAACGTTTTCTATACATCTATTGCTGGCACGTGGTAAGGTGGCAGCTGAGGATGCGTCTAAAAATTATGTATTCATTTCCATTACTGAATTAATTATTATAACTTAGCGACTCAGTTAAAAGCGATACGTCAAATACATTTTCCATAATTAAACTTAATTGAACGAAACAATCGTCGCTTGCATTTAAGTACATGCTTTCTACGATTTAAAAAAAAAATGCCATGACCCGTCAGAATATAAACGCTCATGGGTCTTCACAGCTTCCTTTTTTAACATCTGAGAATCGACATGGCTTCCTAGAAAAGATGGTGGAATGATTTCCTGTTGGCTTATCCACAGATTTGAATTTGGATTAGTTCCTCTCCTTGACTGACTGTCACTAAACGCGCGTGAGTTCAGTCTACCTGTTATTTAATCTATAGATATGAGGAGAAACTAAAAATACACACATTTAAAATGTTTGTACGATAATTCGCATATTCAAATTTCACGTGATTAGAGGTTTCTCTCAAAGAAAGAAGAGATTCAGGCTGTTCAGATACAGATATAGTGTGGCCATAGGTATCAACAGAATTAGGATATAGATACGATGCACTCGTGAATCAACACTGCATGGCATCTCTCAGCTGCACACCTCAATGGGATCTTCAGATCAAGATGCCCACACAGACTATATTCAGGAACGGTCTATTTCCAATACTGAGAAAAATTCCCTTATTCATCAACCTTGCCCGACACCGAAGCAAATTAGAGGTGTAAAACAGAGACCCCCACCCTGTTTGTAAGTTTCCTAAGGTCCCTTTACAAATTGATGGAAAGAATCTCAAGTATATGGAATCTTTCAAATACTTCGGAATCATAGTGAATTCAAGTGCATCACTTGATGGTGTGATTGTTAATAGCATTGCAAAAGTCAGCGCTTCCTTTGGTTCGCTGCGTCATAGATTGTGGGACGAAAGAGGAATAAAGCATTGCACTAAAGCTGTCGTTTTGTCAACTCTTTTGTATGGCTCTGTGTTGACCATGTTCACCATAGTCTATGAATATAGAATACAGCACAGTACGTAATCTGTTCAATGAAACAACGTTAAAGATTAACACTCACGAGTCAGACACTCTACTGAATCTGACTATATCGCCAATACCACCAGGAGCTGTTTCGTAATTCTTTAGTCTTCGATAACAAAGGCTGGCTGTGATATTTAGCCCCCTCCCACGAGGGTTACATGTGACACAAGGCCGGGATTAACGTAGGATCTCCGAGCCTGTAGGCTCGGCCAAAAATATTCCCTATTCGAACGGGGATAAACGGTTTCAGGAGCAGTCAACCACCCCGAACGTGACTCTACTCTTCGGCGGAGCCTCGTCCGGGTTATCAAAAGCTGGCAGTAAGTATTCGGGAAAAACATGGCCGCCTTTATACACGTCACATTGAATATTTTGAGCCTTCTGATTCGTTAACCCTTCTATTGGTGAAATATAAAAAGAGTCAGCTCATTTTAGCTGGCTCACTAGTACACCAGGGTACCCAAACATTCCAACACTCTGTAACTTGGACGCCTTATAGATGGCACATTAATCGATTAGATGTCTTCCATAAAGGCCGTCTGCGTACAATCTGTGATCTAATATTTGAAGATCGAGTGCCAAATGTCGACCTTTTTGAGAAATGCAAGATTGGTACCATCGAGACCTTCATAATGCAATCACTACTACGTTGGGCTAAACATGTAGCAGGGATGATTGATGATCGCATACCAAAAGTTCTTTTTCTACAGTGAACTCCATAATGGTCATAGAAATGTTGGTAGACCTTGGCTTAAGTGTAAATATAAACTGAAGTGCAACCTTTCTTACATCAAGATTCCATTCAAGAACTTTGAAACGGTATCTATGAAGAGATCAGAGTATCGTTCTGGCTGCCATGCAGGAATAATGCACCATCAAGAAGTATGCATCAGTCGACTACGTGAAAGACGAAAGCAAAATAAGACAGCTAAGACTGTTCCTGATACAATACATTCTCCTGTACTGTTTGTGGTCTTTTGTGCAATTCTTGAATGCCCGTCATAGGCATGCACATAATTAGTTCGTCGTCGTCAGAAACTCATACGCCGAACTCGACGTGAGAGTCGATCATACACACACACACACAACCCTAATGTGACTGCAAAATTATCCAAATCGTGTTACGGCATAATTATTAATCCATAAAGTGTTTTATATCTAAAAAAAAAAAAACCCACTAAACTAATTGAGTTTTTTCCAGGTTTTCAGATAAGACTTTTTGACACCATTTGTCCTAAGAATCTCTGAAAAACCCTTCAAGTTATTCAGCTAAAAAGAGAACAAGTTAAAATCATTTTTGTCAGACCAACTCTATTCACAAATGAACAATGGTGAAAGGAAAAAGATCTTTCAGGCCTTCAGTAATGGTACCAACATTTATACTCTGCTTCCATCTTCAAAGTTATTTCAAGAACCATCAAGAGAACGGTGAATAAATTTAAGAGAGAACAGTAGAGTGGAAAACTGGATCAGGGGGTCACAACAGCAAAAAGGATCATCATTTCAACTAAATAGAGCTAAATATACGGATTAGAAAAGATCCAACTCAAGTCATAAGACGTTTAGTACGTGAGAGAGGAATTTCAGCTATGACAGTCCAAATAGCAGTGAAAAAAGACTTGAAAATGAAAGTGGAACTAGTGAGACACTTTGTTACTCCAGGACAGAAAGTTAGAATGTTATAGAGGGCGAAGATCATCTTGAATCAGTTGGAAAATGAGCCTGAAATAATAAATATATATTTGAGCTTTATTTCAATCTTTCATGTGCTTCTGATCCTTAGCTATGATTAATTAATGATGAACATACTATTTTCGTATATGATCGATTTCATAACGATTCTTTTGTCAAACGTAGAGAGTAATTATACATTCTTATTATCCAAAGTCCAATAGTTATAAATCATCGGAGAATTCCAACAAGATAACTTTAATCATTTCTAAGCTACAACGGTTTAAAGCTTAATCTAAGTGGACATTGAGGTTAACACACATCGGTAACAGTGTGTTTCATGCTTAAACCCAATCGTCATGAGTGTGATGCGTTTTGAGTCGACTATTTATATATGTTGACCAGTGATGCATTATGGATCGGTATATTATATTATTCTAAAGGTCATTGGGTGGGGAGAGAAAAGGTTATGTTTCGAATTATCTAGTCGTTATTGGGTGGACATAATTGAGGATCCGAATACAGTTTCATGGGTATTTTTGTGTTGTTAACTTTATTATTGATTGATTTGTTATTTTTTGTTGATTGTTATTATTACGTATACTTGTGTTTATACATGTATTCATGGTTTGTTAATTTGTTTATTATTTATTTATTTGGATTAATTTATTATACATATTTATTTTTTTATTTTATTTTATTTTACTTTACTTTTTATTTATTTATTTTTATTTTCTTCAATTTTGAAGAACATTACAGAAAAAATAAAGATGCATGCAGGCTAAAGAGGAATGGCTCAACGAAAAATGTGCAGAAATAGAATAAACATCGCAAAAAAGCAGACATGCATAAAAAAATACGACAACTAATAGGACACAAGACATGCTCATAAAAAGGATGCAGAAAGTCCAAGAACAGAACGCTGATATTAGAGAATGACAAATTCTTCAGAGATGGAACGAATATATGATGAAACGATGAAAGAGAATAACCGGCAATATGCAGATATATCGACAGACCGGAAATATTAAAATCTGAAGTAGGAGCAGCAATGGCCAAATTAAACAGAAATAAAACGGCAGAGCCAGACGGAATTGTAATAGAGATGCTGGAATCTTTAAACGATTTCGGCATAGACAAGATCACAGAAATGAAAACTATAACAGTGATGATATACTGGAAGACCTAACTAGATCTATTTTCATAGCCTTGCCTAAAACTCCAGGCGCAAGCGAATGCGTACGCCATCGGACAATTAGATTAATGAGCCATATAACGAAACTTATCACCCGAATGAATAGAGCCCATTGCAGAGTCCAACCCGAAATAGGACCAAGAATAGTGCGTGTTTGTCAAAGACACTGGATCAAGGAACGCGATATTCATGCTCAGAATGTTATCAGAAAGAGCAATACAAATGCAGAAGGACGTTTACCTGTTTTTTTATAGATTACGCAAAAGCATTCGATAAAGTATGTCATGAAGATCTATTAGAACTGCTCAGTAACCTATATATATATACTTGGGAAATATATTAGAATAATCAATAAACTATACTGACAGTAATCGGAGTGCCTGCAGATAGAAGATGTATTCAGTAAATATACAAAAATAGAAAAGGGTGTAAGACAAGGATGAGTCTTCTCACCGGACTTCTTCAACCTATAAAGCGAGGCGATTCTGAGAGATCTAGAAGTCTTACTAGGATTCATTATTGCCGACCACAATTTTAATAACATGATGTATGCCGGTGACACAGTGTTGATAGCAGACACAAAAAGAAAGCTAACAAAACTCCTACAGAAGGTAGTGAAGGAAAGCGAGAAGAAAGGACTAAACATCAACTGCAAGAAGACAGAATACATGGTTGTTAACAAAATGATGAGCCCAAACTGAAAATTACAAATCGGAGTTACCAAAGTCAAACATGTGCGGAAATTTAAATGCCTGGTGAGTGTTTTAACAGAGGACGGAAAGTGTGACACTGAAATCCGAAGGCTTATTGGGATAGTCAAGGAAGCATTTCAAAAGATAATCAAAGTACTAAGAAAAAGGAAAATTTCACTAGAAGCAAGGAAAACTGTACTGTACTATGCGATATCTGTTCCCCTGTGAGTACTGAACGATATCCTCAAAGATGAAGAAGGGACTTGAAGCAACAGAAATGTGGTTCTACAGAAGGATGCTGAGGATACCGTGGACCAAACATGTGAGTAATAACGAAGTTTTTGAGAAAATTGAGACGAAAACTCGTATTTAAACTCTGCTCGAAAAGCAACGCTTCAATCTACATTTCTTATGCAATATCGTTTTGAAATTCTAGAATCTTAAACCCCAGTTAGGTGATGGGTCTATAAGACTTCCCTAAATCAAATGGTGGAATTACTTTTAGGCGTTCTCTCTTATTTCATCAGAGGCTCCTAGTTGGTACTTATCTCAATGCTAAGCCTACTGAGCAGGTTATAAGTGCATGACGTGTGTACTGATTCTCTCAGTCGTCTTATAGTCCAAAAAACAACATAGTGAGTATAATAACCCGACGAGCAAGATGTGCATGCTGGTCCAAATACCAGTCATTTTATTTTAACAAGATTATAAGTTTATTCCTTTTTCTCCATTTTTAGGATTGGATTTCCGGTTCCTTCTAAAGTCTTTTTTATTCTCTTTCAGTCTCAGTAGCCCCCCTTACTTCTAAGTTACATTATCACCTTGTTTGGGGTGAATTGATTATATATATATATATATATATATATATATATATATATATTTTAAATAAAAACAGACCACTTTAAGGTTCCATGAAATAAATTATTTCACCACAGCCATTTTAAAGTACTGAGGATCATCAGATTTTACTTCCAAACAAAAAATGAAAAGAAAATTTACACATTTTTGACGGGCCGTATTAAACATATGTAAAATAACGAAGTGACTACGTGAGTGGGGAGAGAGAAGACATGAGTGAATTAGCAGATATTGACGCATTTAAACGGTTAACTTAACTTAACTGTCTACAAATAATTTAATTTGATGTTTTTCATTTTTTAAATTGATAATTTAATTTAAATTGAAATATATTACCCTTTAATAAACATTATTGATGATAAAATATTTAAATTGAAAAGAATTTTGATATTTAGGTAGGTGTTAATACATGAAATTACCTGTGTATATCGGCACTTGGGTACCTGTATGAGTGATTGAACATATAAAGGATTAATGATTGTTTTATTTTTTACGGCTTATCAACCCTTATTTAAGACCAAAGCATATTTCGGATTGTAAGAGTTTCCTTAGAGAACCCAATTTCCCCAAGAAGCCTTTTATTTTAGTAATGAATGGGGTCGACACCGCTTACCTTCAATGATCGAACAAGAACCGGAGTTTTCAGCGTTATTTTGTCGCAGCCTATACGGAGACTGTATTGCCATATGGATTTTATAAAATATATATCTTCTAATTTCATCTTTTATATAAATAAATCCGTTTAGATTGCTATCTATAATATCTGGCTGATGATTTTAAATGCGGATTATTTTTTTATAGATTGTATTGTAATGTTTTATAGAATATATGACGATAAATTATCCCAATTCCACTCTCTTACTTCCTCTCTACCTCCCTCCTTCTCTCTCTCTCTCACCATCTCTCTCTCTCTCTCTCTCTCTCTCTCTCTCGTTCGCTCGCTCGCTCGCTCACTCATTAAAATAAAGCTAATCCAAGTCTCAAAAGCAACTCAGTAGCTCAGGGTTACTGAATGAGTGGGTGAATTTAATATGAGTTGCAGTAGAAGAAAATGAATATTATCAGAGTAAAGAGGATAGATAATAATTTTTGATTTTATATATATATATATATATATATATATATATATATATATATATATATATATATATATGTGTGTGTGTAGGGGGGGTGTAAGAGGGATTTGCTAACCGCTCTGACCGACAGTTGTCATTGGGAAACGAGTACTAGCCAGTCATATATAGGCTCGGAATGAAAAATCAGAGAGCCAAGTCCGATTTATGACATTCGCTTACGGGCAAGTACTCTTGGGAAATGTATGAATCCATCTTTTCCCCCTAGCTATGAGTTAAATAGTAAGACTTGTATCTGAAATCCCCCCCCAAATGTTAATGCAGTATTCATTCGCAAAAAAAATACACACATTCTTAAAATGAAAGATATGTTTCTGCCTTAAATAATCCAAAAAGACTGGAAGAGCATAAGATTGTAGTGTTCAGAAAAGCATCCACTTGGGTGTATCTTCCACAACGTTGCAGTTCTATGGAAATGTCTGCATGAATAGGACTTCCTCTTTACAAATGAAATACTGAGGAAATATACATGATTCGACTCTGTGGACGTAGATTAGTGACTTCTCGTTATAAAAATTTGAAATGGAACTAAAGAATTGTCCAAATCGTGTAATAGCAAAATTGTCCAATTGTTAGATAAAGCTTTCAAAAGTCGTATCATAGAAATGATTAAAGATATTTTACTGAACTTCTCGGGCAATTACTCCAGGGAAACGTATGAATCCATCTTCTCCCCAAACTATGGGTTAAATAGTATGATTTGTATCTGAAATCCCCCCAAATGTTAATGCCGTATTCATTCGCAAAAAAAAAAACTAAAAAAAAAAAAAACAAATCAGTCAATGAATTACATTATTTTAATTCTGTGTGCATATTGATCTGTATACGTGATAATTTATCTTAATTAAGGTATATATATATATATATATATATATATATATATATATATATATATATATATATATATATAGAAAAAGTTTCAAATTAAAAAATAATAATGTTTTATTTTATGAAAGTATTTATTTATGATATTTCAAATTGTCCTCAATTTTTCATCAGAAATAACTGTTTGTTACAAATAAATTAAAATTACTCACAAAAAATAATATCTTAATAATTTATCTTAATTAAGGTATATATATATATATATATATATATATATATATATATATATATATATATATATATTGATAATATCTCATAGTAATAATTTAGGCAAAAGTTGAATGAACTGTCTAGCCACTAGAAGTGATCAAATAAAATATCTCGTTACCCATTACCACATGCTGTGCACTTGTTGGCTGTTTCGTGCCGTTTATTATTCTGATTTATTTGGTTATGGGCAAATATAAGGCTATTGAGGACTCTATAGCCCTGGTTGTTAACCAATATAGGGAAAGGATAATTCGGAACTCTGCGTTTATTCTTGATTTAATTGAAAGTAAATTTGAGTATTGCAAATTTTATTGTCCGTCGGTGTAGATTAATTAAGCTAAATTAGTTTATCAAACCGTTATATGTCTACCGGTGATGCAGGAGAATTAAAAGAAGTCTAGGTAATGCAGTCAGTTGTAGGAATTCGCACGATAAGCCTGGCGGATTTAAAGATATCACTGCCAGTCAAACTTATTCCAATGTCGGTCGATTTTATTTTAAACTGAAATAATATTTTAAGTTTGCGTAGATTGACCTCCTTAGAAAACACCCTATTTTGTACCATCGTTCCAAATCAAACATTCAGATTATTAATATTCTCTAGTTAAACCAGTTCAGACATTCACAACTCGGAAACGACACGATAGTTCCAAGGAGTCAAATCACCTTTATTTCCCCCGTGTTCCAAATCAAACAAAAATAAAATTCACTGACAGAAACTCCGATGGTGGGTGCTTCCCTGAACATAATCTCTTCAAAATCAAGGTTCAGTAGATATATTTCCTATTTATCCTCATAATCTTCACTCCCTACCATAATCCATAACTGATTTATTATTTTCATTTCGATTTTAATCCTGTCCTTTGAGTGGCAGGGTTGAGTCTCTTATTGGGTGAAATTTAGTAAAAAGAAATTATTGTCCTCAAGGACACATGGCACAGTGGAAAGGCGTTGGTTATATCCAGTGACAGGACCCAAAGAGTGTGAGTTCAATACCCGGTTAAGGCAGTGGAGAACTTTCAGAGGGAAAATTAACAGGAGATAACTGATAGCTGACATCCATCAAACATGGCACGTGGAACTAGAACAGCCTACCCCAGTGAGCTAAATAAAGGGTTCAGTTCAAAATTCCAACCACCTGAAGAAGGCCGGAGCGTACAACGGCCGAAACGTTGTGATAAATATGGCGACGAAGATGAGGACAATAGTCCGAATAATGTAAATAATGTACATAATACCTCATCTCAGAAATATAGACAGACTCTGAAGAAATTGATTGTTTCGTTTTGTACAGCCTATGAAACCTTTGGAGGTTATTTAAAGCCAGAAAATATTTTTAGATTGTAAGAATATTTTTTTTAGATAGTAACTGTTTAGTGATATAAATCTTGTCAATTCAACCTTAGTTGGGAGAAGAAGAGATGGCGTCAAACTTTTCCTAAGGATATTTGTGCGTAAGTGAATATAAGGAACCCAATGGAATTGAAACCCGGTTCTCCATTTAACAATTTTGAACCATTTCGATTTTAATCCTGTCCTTTGAGTGACAGGGTTGAGTCTTCTATTGGGTGAAATTTAGTAAAAAGAAATTATTTGTTCTGATTGTTTCCTTTTGTTTCCTATCAAACCTTTGCATGTTATTTAAAGCCAGAAAATATTTTTAGATTGTAACAATTTTTTTTTGAGATAGAAATGGTTTAGTTATACGAATCTTAGTAATTAACCCATAGCTATGTGAGGTTTTTTCACACTTTTCTCAAGTTATTTGCACGTAACTGACTATAACGAACCCAACGGGAATTAGAAATCGACTCTCCGATTAACAATCGCGAACCATTAACCATTACACCACTTGTAAATCGAAACTTAGAGCACCTGAAATCACCGAATGGTCACATATCTAGATAATGACCGGGTCTGACGTTGCTTAACTTCACTTTCACTGATACATACTCCCGCAGTGGATGCTTCCCGAACATAATCTTGATCTCTTCAAAATCAAGGCTCAATTGATCTTTTTTCTATCTAATCCTCGTAATCTCTACTCCCTATTATAATCCACAACTCATTTATCATTATCATTTCGACATTAACCATCTATTTTGAGTGGCAAAGTTGAGTCTTGTAAAGGGTGTTTCATTAAGAAGGATTATATATAAGGGTGTTTCATTAAGACGGATCAAAACCAGCAGTAAATAAATCAGTGTTATTTGTAAAAATTTATTTATTTCATTATTGGATCATGTGATTTAAGTCATGGCAATTATGCGTGGGAATAATATTGCCCAAATGTCCGCCAAATCTGAAAGAAATAGAAAAAATACATTAGACGCTTAAAATTAATTTACATTAAAATCGGCCCAAGTTATTGAAACACGCTTTATTAAGTGAAAATTAGTGAAAAGGAAGAGTTTCTCTTGATTGTTTCATTTTGTAATTTTTTTTAGATAATAGTAGATTATTGATATAAATCATATCAATTAACCCATAGCTGGAAGGAGAAAAGGTGGATTGCCACCATTCCTAAAGGTATTTGCTCGTAAGGGAATATAACGAATCGATAATTGGAACTCAGTTCTCCGATTAACAATTCTGAGCCATTATCCATTACACCGACCGTACATCACTTGCTATTCTCAAACGGTCACCCATCTAGGTACTGACCAAGTTTGAGGTTGCTTAACTTCAGTGAGCGTACGGAAACGGGTGTTTCAACGTACCGTTTACCGAAAAGGAATGTTGGTTAGGTAGATACATCCAGCATTGAAGATTCTTCGCTTGTACGGCAATCCGTTCGATGACGACATAAAAGCGGACAAATAATGAATGATAAAATTCCAATCTGTCCATATTAACCATTAAACAGCAGCAGTTATTGATCTCGAATATAGTCAGACTACGAAAAGCGATCAATAAAGGACGACGTATATATATATATATATATATATATATATATATATATATATATATATATATAGGGAGATGATGAGACAAGATAAAAGTCATATGAACGACGTCCGTTGATCTTGGTCTGACATGAAGTTGTCGAGATAAACAGGCGTCGGCGAAATACGTACTTTATGAGATTTACCATTTTGTTTAATTATCTCCAATTTTATTATATATATATATATATATATATATATATATATATATATATATGTGTGTGTGTGTGTGTGTGTGTGTGTGTGTGTGTGTGTGTCTGTGTGTCTGTGCGTCTATGTGTATATTTGTAGGATGTATAATAGTATCCAAAATGAAAGTGGATATGATGAGACAAATGGTAATTCTATATATATATATATATATATATATATATATATATATATATATATATATACTCACATAAAACACACACACACACAAGCTACGGTAGAGTGACCGGCTCGAAGTGAGAAATCGGACAGCCGAGCTCATATTCTAGTCAAGTTCACTGCAGATATGCAGCTATTTATTCTCCCCAGTTGGGTAAATGAAAGAAGCAGATTGAATACTATAGCCTTGCTTGATAGCCATTCTAGGAGAAGAAAAACGTAATCAAACCAGACTTCTTATCCAATACACACCTCTTCTACGGTACATGTGGTACCCGTAATGGATTACGGGACGCCTGATCGTGATATATATATATATATATATATATATATATATACGAGAGCAAGATCTAAAGCGTCAGCCAATCTAACAGTGATCTCATCTCACAATTCTTAGACATACTCCATATGTGGCCTCTTTTGTAAATCACTAACGGGACTTAAATGCCACTTAAGATTATCGCATAAACTTTCATAACTGAATCAATAAGCTGGTCGATCCTCATACGTCGAAACAGACGGGAGAGTCCATTATATATATATATATATATATATATATATATATATATATATATATATATATATATTATTGCCGAGTCTAAATCAAATTATTTAATGCTTTATTCCATGTGACATTAAAGCCAATTCATTCCGCTTCCATTTGGCCATAATGATTGAACACCTACGACTTTAGATGTGAGGTAAAGAAAAGCTTGTAAATATTTTATCGCGACACCGATATGGAAATAGTCGATGTTCCGGTAAGATTAGCAAAATTGGCATTTATGGTTGATTCAGTCTTTTGTCCTTTTTTTTTTTTTTTTTTTTTTCAAGCCGATGTCTGTTATTTGAAACAGAAACATATTTTATATTTTTTTTTTTTTTGCAATTATCCCATTCACAGTTTTTTAGAACAACAATGTTTTTTTTTTCCAGATATTTCTTATTATTTACCCCATAGCTGAGGGAGAGAAAATGTATTCATAACTTTTCCAAGTGGATTTGGGCGTAAGTGAATTTTACAAACCCGACTAAAATTCGAACTCGCTTCTCCGATTTGACATTTATAGAGGAATGGCGATAGCATAACAAACTAATAGAAAAAGAACATAAAGAATATAATACAAGACTCGAAAGCCACTCAAGTTAGAGGATTACTGAATGAAATTCCGTTAAAGCCGTAAATGGAGGACACAGAGATTCATATTATTAGGATATGTCGGATATATATCAGTTGACCTTAGACTTGAAGATTTTAAGAAAGTAGTGTTTGCTGAAGCAGCCTCCCGAGAGTCTGTTTCAGAAAGTAACAGTTGTTTGAGTGGAACTTCCTACTTACCATGTATGTGACATGGCCGGTCCTAGCTGGGAAAGTCTAAACTGGACAAAATTAAGGAAAGAAACTCGTCTGAACAACAGACCTTAGAAACAGCGATAAAGTACCGAGAGATAAGCAACTTTTCGTCTGTAGGAAAGAGGTGGTAGAGTGGAAAATAACAGAATTTAAAAAAATATAATTTATCAATCTCAAGATAGCGTAATACGACGCAAAAATCTCTCTGAACTGCTCATCAGTCTTGGCACATTTGCTAAGAATAATCAAGAATCTGTAATGGCGGCAAAACGCGTACATACGGACAGAAAATGAATTCAGCAGATATACAAAAATAGAAAAAAGGCGTAAGACAAGGATGTGTCTTCTTACCGGACTTATTCAACCTATACAGCGAGGCGATTCTGAGAGAATTGGAAGTCATACGAGGATTCGTTAGTGGAGGCCACAATCTAAACAACATGCGATAAGCAGATGGCACAATACTGACGGCAGATACGCAAAGAAAACTACAAAAACTCCTACAGAAGGTAGTGAAGGAAAGCGAGAAGAAAGGACTAAACATCAACTGGAGGAAAACAGAACGCATGGTTGTTAGCAAAAGCATGAGCCCAAAATGCAAATTACAAATCGAAAATAAACAAGTAAAAAATTTAAATATCTGGCAATTGTTTTAACAGAGGACAGAAAGTGTGATACTGATATTTGTTTACCCAAAGATGCTTTTCAAAAGCTAAGCAGAAAATTAAGAAATAGAATACCTTCATCAGAAAAAAGGAAAGATTACTGAACTGTTATGTCATGTCTGTCCTCCTATATGACAGTGAATGCTGGACAATCTCCTCAAAGATGAGGAAGAGACTGGAAGCAACAGAAATGTGGTTCTACAGAAGGATGATGAGGATACCATGTACTGAACATGTGAGCAACGACGAAGTTCTAGATAAAATGAAAACAAAAAGGAATCTTATACTTAACACCCGGAAGAGGGAGCTGAAATTTCAATGATACATAATGAGGAAAAGGCTTGGAAAATCTGATACTCAAAGGACAGTTTGAAGACAAGAAAGACAGAGGAAAACAACGCATAACATACTTTGTGACCTTGAGTAAATGGATGGCGAAAGAGGCTTTATGATGTGAAAAAGATAAAAATTATTAAGATATTCCTAGAGCACATAATAAGGAAAGAAGGCTTGTAAAATCTAATACTCACAGGGAAAGATTGAAGGCAAGAGAGACAGAGAAAAACAATGCATAAAATACTTTGTGAGCTTGAGCAAATGAATAGTGGAACCAGGTTTGGGAGAGATAACGAAAAGACAAAATTGATTAAGATCTACAAAAGACAGGAAGAGCCACGATCGCTTATTTCCTGAATATATATATATATATATATATATATATATATATATATATATATATAAACAAATATATGAATATAGATCCGACAGTATGAAGAAAAATATACGGAAAAAACAAACAAAAATCCTAATATGCAATTATGCTGTTTTAATGTTAATATAATGTCAACGTCGGACGTTTCGGTTTAATAAACCATCTTCAGGACATATTCATATGTCCATCGTCTTTTCATGTTGAATTAAATATAGTCTAATGTTAATTATGTTTTATATATATGTCCTGAAGATGGTCTACTAGACCGAAACGTCCGCCGTTGACATTATATTAACATTAAAACAGCATAATTGCATATTAGATTTTTTTTGTTTTTTCCGTATTTTTCCATATATATTTTATATATATATATATATATATATATATATATATATATAAAAAAGGCTTAAGCACTAATATTCCATGGTCATAATTTATTTCATTGGAATTGAATATGATCAATTCATCACACCTACAAATCCAAAAAGAAAACAGAAAAAACAACTTTCATTTTTCTTTTTTCTGTTTTTTTTTCTGTTTTCTTTTTGAATTTGTAAGTCTGATGAATTGGATCGTATTTACGATTCCAATGGAATAAATTATGACCATGGAATATTAGTGTTTAAGCCTTTTTATTATATCCTTACTCTGTCCTGGACATTGAGTTCTACCTGGATTCTATCCTCATGGAATTATTTTTTATACAAATATATATGTATGTGTATGTATGTATGAATATATATTTATATATTTTAGATATATGATTGCATATGTATGTGTATATTTACCACTAATATTATCAATGTATATATATATATATATATATATATATATATATATATTCATTCGCCCATACTTAGGATATTGTTGCCATATATAGTCTGGTGTCCCTTCTATTTATTTAGATATTCTTGATAAAATCCAAGGAAGAATCTGCAATATTTTTGGTTCTGTTCTAACATCTCGTCTTCCGCCACTTCTCACCACGTTAAAGTTGCTTCCCTTTGCCTTTTTTAATAAATACTTTCAAACGCAGTACCAGATTGGCAATAAGGTCTCATCAATTTACAGATGAATTGGCTAGATGTAACTGTAAGTTTTATGCTAACAGTTTAGTGTCTTGCACTTCTCGCTTGTGGAATTCTTTACCGGTTCCAAGCTTTCTGGCCAACTTTGATTATCGAAAATTCAATTGCAATTTCAATCGTTATCTACTGTCTACCTGATTACTCTTCTAAAACTAGAAACTCCTTGTATTTATTTGAAAGGGTGATTCAGAAATCTATTCGACTAATGATGAAAATTTGACTTGCCTCTTGCTATATATTAAGGAAAATGCTTTTCAAACATCCCACAGAGGGTTAATAATAATAATCAATAAAAAGAAATAAAGAAAGAAAAAGAAGGAAAGATCTATTTTAGAAAAAAAAAAGTTAATCTAGACCAAATAAAATAGATTTCTTCTTCTGTGCCATGTACCGTCAGAACGTTGCTGATCATGGGTCTTCACAACTTCCTACCCTTTGTAGCTCTTAATAAAATTTATCTTTATGTTATCTCTCCTAAACCCTGTTCTGCCATCCATTTACTCAAGCTCGCTATGCGTTGTTTTTATCTGTTCCTCTTGCCTTCAATCGATCCTGAGAGTATCAGCTTCGCCAACACTCTTTCCTCATTATAGAGAAATTCCAACTGATATTATATCAGAAAGAGACAAGTATGTGTCCTTTTTGTTGTTTACATTTCTCTAAAACTTCTTCGTTGCTCATATGTCTAGTTCGTGTTGTTCTCATCATCCTACTGTAGAACAACATTTATGTTGCTTCGTCTCTTCTTAATCTGTAAGGAGATTGTCCAACATTCACTGACATATAGGGAGACTGATATTATGCAACTGTTCAGTACACTTTTACTTGTTTCTAACGAAATGTTACTGGTTCCTTATACTTTGCTTAGCTTTTGGAAGATACCTTTCGCGGCCTCGGATTTCAGTGTCATACTTTCCGTTCCCTCTTAAATATAGATATATAAATTATTATACTTGATTTTGGTATCACCAATTTGTAATTTGGATGTTAGGCTCTTCCCTTTTGCTGGCAACCACGCAGTTTATCTTCTTGCAGTTGATGATTAGTCCTTTTTTCTTTATGTCATCTGCATATATTATGTTGTTAAAATTTTGTCCGTCACTAATGAATCCTGGTAGGAATTCTAATTCTCTTAGAAACGTCTCACTGTATAGATTGAACTGTATTAGTCGTCCAAAATAAGAAAGAAAATACTTTCAGCCGGCGGACGTCAGTTGATTTTGAAGATCAAAGATGGCAGCAGAAAGATAATAAAATGTTAAATAAAAAGAAAAATATTTCGATCTTGTCAGATCAATAAGGAAATCGTCCAATCTGAAGGTGACAGTTGGGACAAACACTTTCATCGTTCTTAGTACAGATCCGCGGAGTTTGGTAGGAAAAAAAATGGAGGAAATAGAAATCCGGGTAAAAATCAAAACTTTCCAGACACCATTATTGGAATCGGCAAGAATGACGAGGAAAAGAATAGAATATTGAAAAGACTTGCGTCCATTTTATTTGATCTCCGACGAAATCTAACAAACACTAATATTGTGGATTTTTTTTTTCCACTCGGATTTTCACAATAGTGATAACTGGTGATTTTTCACTTGATTTAAACCAATTTAAAAGGCGTGTCTCAAAATCTAAAAGAAAAACAGAAACCATACCGTTAGTACCACGCAATACTTTCACACTCCTAAACAAATAAAACTAATTAAAATATTATGACTAAAACTAGAAACTCCTTGTATTTATTTGAAAGGGTGATTCAGAAATCTATTCGACTAATGATGAAAATTTGACTTGCCTCTTGCTATATATTAAGGAAAATATTTTTCAAACATCCCACAGAGAGTTAATAATAATAATCAATAAAAAGAAAGAAAGAGAGAAAGTATAAGAAAGAAAGATCTATTTTAGAAAAAAAAGTTAATCTTGACCAAATAAAATAGATTTCTTCTTCTGTGCCATGTACCTTCAGAACGTTGCCGATCATGGGTCTTCACAACTTCCTACCCTTTGTAGCTCCTAATAACATTTATCATTATGTTATCTCTCTTAAACCCTGTTCTGCCATCCATTTACTGAAGTCTGCTAGGTAGGTTATGCGTTGTTTTCATCTGTTCCTCTTGCCTTCAATCGATCCTGAGTGTATCAGCTTCGCCAACCCTTTTTTCTCATTATAGAGAAATTCCAAATGTCTCTTTCTGATATTATATCATAATATAAGTATGTGTCTTTTTTTTTTTGTAAGTCTCTACAATATTCCAGGTGTCTCCTCAGTATTCCAGCTGTGTTTATGTTGTAGACTAATTTTCACAGTGGAGGCTTGTATTTCACTAAGTCGGTCCTAAATTAGGTTCGACGTACAAAACGTTAGGAACTTGAAATAGTTGTGGTGGTTGATACTTTAATGTCCGACATCGACTGACACACCAACTCCACTGAGCCCTCCGCGACTGCTACTACTACTACTACTTATTATCTGTGGGAGAATCTATTAACAATAAAATAGGTATGTTCCGGTATAACAGTTTAGTAGCACTTCTGTCTGCTTGGTCTTCTTCATAATCTCTATCTTCTGGTCTTTTCCAGACGTCATTTGGAACTGTCTTCATTGTACCGATAACAATAGGTACGACTCTATAATTTCAACGGGTGTCAGTCATTATCAAACTATTTATCCAGCCTCTTCAATACTTCAGGACACTGAATATTCTAGTCGAAATAAGTAACAATTCTTCCCATGAGCTGTAAGTTCTCTAATTTTTTTGCGAGGCTGTTTGGTGCAGTTTAATTAACACGGCTGTCGTTTTCAGATTCTATAATTTCCTCAGCTCTCTGTCAAAGACATAAATGTTTCATGTTTTTCACTGTAGGCATTCGGGAACTGTGAAATCCAATGTTTCATACATTATTTTCCAAATGTTTATAAAGATTGAGTCAGGTCTTCGAAACTGGATTAGTTGCTGCGTTTGAAGCTCAAAGTCCCACTGGATTTTATGTTCAGTTCTCTAAGATATATTCTGATCCCTGGATATTCTATTGTTTCGTTCCAAATGAATCAGTTTCCACTGGCTAATGGCATTCAGAATGACACTGTTGATGCCATAATGACACTGTAGAAAGACACAATAGTTTTCAGCTGATAGCGAAGAATTCAATCATTAGAAATGAGATTCTACCGAATTCTCCAAGGCATCTTCTAGTGATTTTCTAAGTCCGGCTTAGATGTGGCACAAGGCCGAAAGTATGGAGCACCCAGTGAGGATCGAACTCACTACTCAGTCGTAATTGTTCTAGCGAGACAAGCTTTCTAACCATTACACCACGTCGAGGTGCCCAAAGGCATCTCCTAAGCCCGACTTAGATGTGCCACAAGGCCGAAAGTATGGGGCACCCAGTGAGGATTGAACTCACTACTCAGTCGTAATTGATCTAGCAAGACAAGCTCTCTAACCATTACACCACCTCGAGGTGCCCATAGGCATCTCTTACGTATATCGCATCCGTAATGACGCGGTTCAAAACACCATCAAATGAGACTAGTTGGATGAGCTTATAACTATCATCAAGAAGAAGAGATTGAAATGTGTTGCCTTCTGTATTGTCTCTGGATCCCCACGCTACAACTACACATCAAAGAGAAGGACGATTTCTTTTTGTTATTTGTTTTATTAGAAGAGAGTGGTAGCAGCTTGGATTCTAAGAGGCATGACGTCACGTGAACGCATGTCGCACGTTAGTTCAGCGCCCCTCCGCGGGTGGTCTTAGCCCGTCGCTAACCAGGTTGTAGGAGGCGTATCGACGTTTCAAATTCATGCGACCCTCCGTTGAATTCGCCCCGTTTTTGGACTTATATCCAAAACCCATACAAAGGTAATCCATCACTGTCAGAATAGCACACCCACGTGGCACTCCAGCCAATCGCTGACCACTATGGCCTTGGCCTTCGTATTCAGTAACATGTTATGGACAGGTCATAAAAGCCAGCAATCTTTCCACTGCCATCCTACAAGTTAACACCCAAAAGAACAAGAATACTGAGAGAGAATGGACTAGCAACATCATTAAGTGAACTGGAAGATTTTTCACTGTGGCATGCAAAAATATGGAGGAGCCACCCAGTTAAGCGGCTTAATAGGGTCCATATGCTCATACTGGTCAAGAGAGAGATGATGAAGATGAGAATGATGGTAGAAGAACCGGATTTATTTTTATATTGTTGACGGTGTTATGCAAAAAAGCAACACTTACGAACCACTTCTTCATTATATACCTCAATTATGTACTTCGGACTTTTGGGTTACAAAGTCAAGGAAAATGGACTAAACTCTCTAAATCGGACAGTTTGAATGAATATTGCATTGTGTATCAAAAGTAGCTAGAGGAATCTGTCTGTATGTATAGGCAGACAAAACAGAGTTCACGTACTTTAATCAAGTTTTCATAAACTCTCTCTGTCAGACTAGCCATTAAAATGGTCAACCAGTTATCGATCTTGTATGATCTCTTCCAGTAAAAGCGACACTTCCAATTGGCAAATAGTGGGCTGCAGTGGACAAACTCAATAATTTAGAAATCTGCGTTACCAGATAGAAATGAAGCGAGACTTCTTCCAAGCCATATCTGTCTTTCTTCTATGATAAAGTGCCCCCACAAAAACAGGAAATTTTAGGTTTACTATATGATTAAAAAGAATGAACATATCTCAAAAAACAGTTATATGTTTTACTATATGAATGAACTAAAAATATTAACTTACATATAATTTTTTAATTTATTTGTTGTTCTACAGTTTTGAAATTTTCAACGCTAGGTGATTTTTCTCTTTAAGAAAGAATATCCAAATTGGCGACTGAAAGAATTCTAAGAAATTTTCTCAGATTACTTTAGTTTTGAACACCAAATCTAACATTTGTGTTTTTGTTCTGTTTTAAGTGACTACATTTCTATCCCTTGCTTTTGTTTAAAAAAACTGTAACAAAAATTCCAACAATTAAATAAACTCTACCAAATTTCCTGTTTTTTCTTTTTTGTGGGGCACCCTGTACATTAACTAAACGATTAGAAAAAGAAGCTAGATATATGTATACAAGGATTCTTCGTGTTGTTTTGAATCTATGCTGGAAACAGGTCACTACAAAAAAGCAGCCTTCGCACATCTCACAAGTAATTCGAGGAAATAAGAAAAAGATCTGCAAGGCAGTATAGAAGAAGTAAGGATTAGTTTATTCATGAAGCTCTACTGTGGACGCAAAACATAGAAACACTAGGATTGGTCGCCCATTCAAAACATGCATTCAGCACATATGTGAGGACAGATTACCAATACGGAGGATAATCGTAGGGAACTTGAGAGAAGCACTTAGGAAAATCCGTGCAATCGGTACGCCATGATGATTTTGATGATGATAATGATGATGATGATGAATATTCTTGCTTTCATTCTAGACTAATTTTTTTAAATTCGCTCTATTAGGACTGTGCAATCACTACACCCTGATAATGATGAAGATGAATATTATTTTCTATGGTCAAAATGTAATCGCTTGAACAATTCTCTGTTGGTCACCTTTCCTGCCCAGTCATGTTATTCTTGTCGTCTTTCTAGACTAATGTTTCTACATTCCTTGATTGAGCACTGTGCAATCAGTACGCCATGATGATGATGATGATGACTATAATTCCATATGGTCAAAATGAAGTCGCTTGTATAGTTCTCGGTTGATCACCTTTCCTGCCCAATCATGTTTATTCTTGACTTCTTTCTAGACTAATTATGAAGACCCGTCCAATCGGCAGGAATCGTAAAAGACAGCAAAATTTAAAATACCCGACCTTTGCGATGAAAAACATTAAGAAATAAGATAAAAATGAATAAAGTCAGTATAATTAGTTCTGGAGAATGTCAGCGTAGTGTAGCGAGTACCAGTGCAGAAAATGAAAATAACGTTCGATTTCTACCTGAGGCCTTTCCCTTTCGCATAATTTACCTTGGAAACATATGAATCTAGTTAATAAAAGGGAAGACTGGTATCGCCATCTTTGGTTTACAACTAGTTTAGGGGAAAGACAAATCTAAATTCAAAACCGGTCGGCCGTGAGATTTTCTTTCTATGTGCCGGGTGCTCTCCACTCCCCTCTATCCCTTACAGCTCTCAACAAGTTCCTTCCCTCTGCCACCTCGCCCAGACAACGCTCTGTCATCCACTTGCTTAAAACCGCTAGGTATGACATCCGTTGTTTTCCTTTTCTCTCTTTCCCTCAATTCGACCCGTGAGTATCAGATTCTCCAGGCCCTCCTTCCTCATTATGTCTCCCAGAAACTTCAGCTGCCTCTTCCTGATGTTAAGTATAAGCCTCCTCCTTGTTTGCAACCTCTCTAAGACCTCATCGTTGCTCATACACTTGGTCCGTGATATCCTTAGCATCTTTCTCTAAAACCACATCTCCGTCGCCTCGAGTCTCTTCTTCATCTTTGAGGAAATCGTCCAACATTCGCTGCCGTAAAGGACAGATGTCACGTAACAGCTCAGTATTCTTTACTTTGTTACCAAAGAAATCCTCCTGTCTTGCAAGACTCTATCCAGCTTTTGGAATGCATCATTGGCCATTCCGATCCATCTATGGATCTCAGTATCGCATTTACCGTCCTCTGTCAGAACGCTTCCCAAATATTTAAACTGCCGAGTTTGCCTGATTCTAGTGTTCCCGACCTCCAAATCGCATTCCAGTCTCTTTCTTTTAGTGATGACAATGCATTGTGTCATCTTGTAGTTTATGTTTAGTCCCTTCTTCTCACTCTCCGTCGCTACCTTTTAGGAGATTTTGTAATTTCATTTCCGTGTCTGCTATCAATACTGTCTCATCTGCGTATCTTATGTTGTTAAGATTATGGACCCCAATTCTAAATCCCAGTAGGGTTTCCAGATTAACAACCGTACAAAAACTATTTCCGCCGCGAACTGCAGAAGCAATAACAAAAATAATGGGGTTGTGTCCCTTTGCTCAACAGGGGAGACTTTATAGGCTTAACATAAAATACATAATTTAAATGGGTTACTGAGTCAATTATAGCACTGATTAATCATTCCAGCTGTGGATTAATATATTACACGTTTCAATAATAAATTTTAAATATTGCATTTCTTCCATTAATATTTAGAGATGACAATTTACAGCTTGTAACAGCTGAAGTACCTTTTCGACATCCCATAATGTGGCTATCTCAGTGATTGATTGATCCAACTGCGTATTAAAATATTAAACATTTTTTAATATTGTATTTCTTCCATAACTATTTATATAGAGATTTATAGATATTTTCATGGACGTTTTACAGCTTGTAACAGCTGAAGTAATTTTTCTACATCCCATAATATGGCTATCACAGTGATTAATTGGCCTAACTGCGCATTAAGATATTAAACATTTTTTAATATTGTATTTCTTCTATTACATCGACATCCCATAATATGGCTATCCGAACTGGGATAACATTTCAAATACATAATTAATATCCATTTCAAATATATTCTGTTCTGCGCAAAAGTAAGTGATCCCCTAAGATAATATTTAATTTTTTTCCTCTTTTTTTTCCAGATAATCAACAAATCTATATGTTAATCATTTCATATCAAAGGTAAGATACTAAAACGGAAAGGGATCACTCGGAATGAAAGCGAATGAGAAATGCGAACATTTTAGAAAGTACTGGAAACCCTAAAGAGGAAATAAGGAATAAAACTCTACTCCTGTTCAAAAGTACGGGGAGGAGTGTGAACTGGATGATAGGTGAATATATCTATTCCCATTCAGGATTTAAGCGAAGACATGAGAAGTATAGAGTTGAATTAGACTTTAGAAAGAACTGTTAACCCAATCCTAAACAGAAAACAAGGGATAAACCTCTACACTCTGAACCGGACGATAAACAAACCTATTTACTCCTACTGAGGTAAATAATTAAATAAAATAAATAAACAGTAAATAAATTTTCGAGTTTATGCTTCTTCGTAAGATCTAGAATCCGAAGTAATTTCCGAGTTTATGTGTGTTCGTAGGATCTGAACAAAAATGGAGAAATCAGACAAAGTGGAAAAAACATTTTTTTTTATTGACAACGCGTTTCGTCTCAGTTAAGCAGTTCGGTAAGCGTTTTCAGGTGAGAATTTCTCACAGAATTTGTCAGAATCATTAATTTGTCTTTTATTGTGACCTACCTAATTACCTAATATAGGCTAAACTCGTTATCAATAAAAAGGTTTTCCAAGTTGTCCGTATATATATATATATATATATATATATATATATATATATATATATATATATATATGAATAAAGGCAAAAGGAAAACTTATCTTAGCCGACGTATTTCGTCCTCTGTGTAACTTTATCAAGGCAAATGCCACAGAGGATGAAACGCGTTTTCCTTACTCTTTATTCATATCTTTTTTTTACAGCAATACTCTATCTGAAATCTATACGCAGACACACAGACACAGACACACACACACATATATATATATATATATATATATATATATATATATATATATATCTGCTCTACTCTGTATAACATATTTATGTTATAAATTTTTTAAATAAATAATTATATATATATATATATATATATACGCATACACGTATATAATTATATATATATATTACTTAAAAGATACTTTTAGTGCATACTAGTATTCGAGTAGACACTCCGTTTATTTATTACATAGTATACTCATTTATTTTCGTCTACTGACCTGAATATTCAAGAAATTTTATTAAAGAAAAATTTGAGCTCTCCAGCAGGATTCGAACTAGTGTCGCCGATAGAGAAGTCTTCAGATCCGATGTGCTTTAAACCCATTAGGCAATAAGTGAATCGTTGATCAGGCCAGGTTGAATACTGCTTTTAAACACTGATCTTTCTCTGACTCTCTATAGTCATATCTGCTCCTAACGTAAATTTCTAAATAAAGGGATGGATTCTAATTATAAAAATTTCGGGCTTAATTTCATTAACAGTGCGATTTTTTTGGTGGGATTCTAAAAAAAACGATTTTCCATAAGAAAAGACAGTGTCCTCATTTGCCAAGCAACTTTCATCCTTGCCTTACACAGTGAAGCTCCAATAACAATAATCAATAGATGTCCCATATCAGTCAATCAATTGACACCTGATGATGACCAGAGGTTACATGATCGAAACATTGTGTCTATGATAACAACTATATTAATGAAGATAAAATTAATAGTTCGAAATACTATAAGAGCATTCATAAGTTTTACTTAATAATTACCCCAAAGTTCAATAGTAGGTGTTGAGTGATTGCTCTTGAAAGTAGAACTGATAAAGACGGTAGAGGGTGTGACATTGGCTGACTATAATGTTACAACTATTCAAAATGAACAGGGTTGGTGCGTACTCCCCACGAAACCCCGCCTGTGGGAGATGTCAGATTTGATTGGGAGCTCCGGGAAGTGCTCTTTGTCATTCGCTAAATATGGTATTTTCAGAAAGGTTAGGATCTCCTCTTTTGAAAACAGAAAAGCCTTCATTTGGAACGCCTGGGGAAATTTAGTTATGGGGGATAATTTACAAACCAGATTTGAAATCATGAACCTGAAATAAAACGTAGCCGTATTTCACTAATACTAGTTGGCCTATATTAGTAGCCATGTATATAACAGTGAAACAGTAGATAACATTAAAAAAAAAAAACTAACACATAACAAAGACCTATCAGATCTATGAGCTTCTTGGTGAATGAAATACTGACCGAACAACCATAATTTACAGACCAGTAATTGGTCTGTCAAATTGAATTTGATACATAAAACAGTCTGCAGAAAGAGATAGAAAGAGAAAAGTAACGGACAAATAATTTTAGAATACTACCGATCAACCGATATGTTGCTCTCTGACTTTGCTCTGACAGTGTGGAGATTTCAAGATGGTCTCGTGATATCCGTATATTTTGCAGACCAGACAACAAAGAAAGGAACTTTTATTTCTCAGGAACCACTGATACCGAAAACATGGTTCTAAGTGTTGTTAATAAGAGACAAATTGGCAGCATATTTTATCTTCACTTGGACCTCTTTCTTTTTTGGCAGTCTGGTGAGTAAAACATTGGACCTATTCAAAGAAGACATGGCGGCTTTGTGTGCTACAAGCAAGTTATTACTAAAAAAGGAAGAAAACAAATACAGAACTAACGCATTGAATATTATAGTCTCCTTTGAAAAATGAAAAGTTTTCATTTGGTCCACCTGGGGAAATTTAGTTATGGGAGATAATTTACAAACTAGATCTGAAATAATGAACCTGAAATAAAACTTAGCTGTATTTCACCATTACCAGCCGTCATGTATATAGCAGTGAAACAGTAGAGAACATAAAATAAACTAAGACATAACAAAGACCTATCAGTTCTATGTGCTTCTAAGTGAATGAAATAATGATCAAACACCCACAATTTACAGGCCGATAATTGGTCTGTGATAATGAATTTGACAAATAAAACAGTGTGCAGGGAGAGAATTTGAAATCGTTCATTCAAACACGATCGCAAAAATACTAGGCCCAGGAAATTGAAAATTGAAAAGTTTTCATTTGGACGGGGGAAATAAAACAGTTTTAACGGAATGATTAAAATGGCTTTAAGTGAATGAATCCTCTAAGTCAAAGAAGTGAACACTTCATCAGATCTCATTGACCGGAGATACAAGATCACAAAGAACTTTACCAAATAACAAAAATAAGATCAATTGAACAATTCCAGCAGTAAAAACAACTAAAATTAATAACACATAGAGTTAGTAGGGAAATAATGATATAATCAAAATGTTAACTTTCCACACTACCTTAAACAAAAGGTTAGGAAGGAGACTCCTATCATAGTCTGGTCAATGTTCACCGGGAAAAATATTACCAAGCTAAAGATGATATTTTATGAAAGTTTATGGTCTCCTCTTTTGAAAAGTCTATAATTTACAAACCAGATCTGAAATAATGAACCTGAATTAAAATGTAGCCGTACTTTAACAATACCAGTTGGGATATATCGGTAGTCATGTATATAGCAGTGAAACAGTAGAAAACATAAATAAACTAAGACATAACAAAGACCTATCAGTTCTATGTGCTTCTAAGTGAATGAAATAATGATCAAACACCCACAATTTACAGGCCGATAATTGGTCTATCAATTTGAATTTGATAAATAAAACAATCTGCAGGGAAAGATAGAAAGAGAGAGGTGAAGGACAAATATTTTAGAATACTTCCGATCACCCCATATGTTGCTCTCAGACCTTGCTCTCAGACCTTGCTCTCACAAGATGGTCACGTGATATCTGTATATTTTGCAGACCAGACAAAAAAAGTAAGGAAGTTTTATATCTCAGGAATCTTTGATGTCGAGAACATGAAATTTTGACTGGTTCTAAGTGTTGTTAGTAGAGACAAATTGGCAACATAATTTTATTCCTACTTTGACCTTTTCGTTTTTGGCAGTCTGGTCAGTAAGACATAGGACCTATTTGAAGAAGACCGTCTTATGTGCTACAAGCAAGGTTTAACTAAAGAATGAAGAACACATGTACATAGAAATAACTCATTGCATCAAGCAACCGATTAAACAACTTTGGCCCTGAAAGACCTCTTTTGCTATACAAACTTCGACAATGGAGGTGCTTATCAAAAAAAGTGTATATATCTTTCATATCTGCCAAAAATGTGATACTTGGTGCAAAAAACTAAAAACTATAGAATTTGAAATCTTTGATTCAAGCACTATCGCAAAAATATTAGGTCCAAAAAATAACACTCCATCAAAAAAGATTATAAGATGCCACAAACGAATATCGAAATGTTCCAAACTCTACTACCAAATACAGCAAGCAGAACAATGTAAATGGCCTGATATAATTCAAAATAAACGTTCAAATAAATTATCTTCGTCTTCCCACTCGTCCTCTTCTTGTAGAGCCAGACTAATGTTGTTGCAATGGGTAACCCTACAATCACTGCATTCTGTCACGCACGTGAGACCATGTTTCCAGCAAGAGTAGATATTTGTACAGCAAGGACTCTTAGACAAAATCCTACACTTACAACACACAAACTTCAGTAGTTATTCAACAGCAGAATCTAGATGGGTATGAACTGGGACTAAAATACCGTTTTTCATTTCCCAACCCCAACTGCAAGGATCAGGTCGGCAAATACCTAAAAACTTCCAAATCATTGCTTGAAGATAGACACGGAGAATGTGGAACAAACTCATCGTTCAGTTGGAGGCATTTATTCAAGCTGTACTTTCTTCGTCGATGTTGCGGCATACTCCTTATACTCGATGTACCTGAGGGGGTCCAATGTATATATCTGGTTTTCCTTCATATATACTGACCAAAATCTGTGATCCCGCAGATGCAACTTAGGCAGGAGAAGCAGTTGTATAAGCTATAGTAGAGCAACAAGATCGGGTCTCCTTTGACTTACGAATAAGCCTGATTAACATACCTTTCCCATGCCCAAATACAGGTGACGTTGATTCAGATCTACTCCCAGGGGTGGATGACTGGAAAGTTTTGTAGAACATACACGTTTGTCTTCTCTGCGATTTCACGGATGCTGTGAAGCTTCTTCATCTTTCTCCGAGACTTCTTTCCTCTGAACGCATATATATATATATATATATATATATATATATATATATATATATATATATATAAGCAAATATATGGATATAGATCCGACAGTATGAAGAAAAATATACAGAAGACAGGCACGATGTTTAAAATTGTTCCATCGTGCCTGTCTTCTGTATATTTTTCTTTATACTGTCGGATCTATATCCATATATTTGCTTACATACTGTCTACTGGAAATACAAACCTGAATTTACTTTATAACATGGAAGACTTCAAGATTGTACGAAAATATAAGGATCTATTGATCTCAGCCTATTCCTGTAAGTAAGGAAAGGATTTATTAACGAACTGTTTAAAATTGTTCCATCGTGCCTGTCTTCTGTATATTTTTCTTCATATATATATATATATATATATATATGTCATCCATATCAGGGGAAAAGTAGAAAAATAAAAGAACAAGGATGTCTGAGTCATCAGATATTGCAGTCACTAGATTTCCTTCAGTAGCCAATTTGAGCGTTTCAGAAACAATTTCCGTGTCTGGGCTCCCTCACTTTGGACCACCCGATGGCCGTCTGCTTCCAAGGACGACATAACATCTTGACAGACTGATATTTGTCCTTCTAGTTTGAGAGGAAGAGCGCTTGATGAGCAGTAACCTGCACTCCATCTTCGATTTGTATGTTAGTACAGGTCCGATTTGCTATTCACTGTTTGTTTATGATCTTTTATGGACGGGTCTGCATTGTAACCATTAAAATGATGCTTGATGGCCCGTACTTCACCTCCACATAGTTCCCATACAGTGTAATTACGTCGCTGTATGTCACCTTAGGCAACCACTTCACTCGGTGGAGGAGAACATCTTCATCTGAAACAAACATTAGGGTTTTGTCCCTTTGCTCAACAAGCTTAACATAAAACACACATAATTTAAATGGGTTACTGAGTCAATTATAACACTAATTAACCATTCCCGCTGTGGATTAATATATTACACGTTTTAATAATAAAATTTAGATAGTGAATTTCTTCCATTATTTAGAGATATTTTCATTGTAACAGCTGAAGTACCTTTTCGACATCCCATAATGCTTAATTGATCCAACTGCGCATTAAGATATTAAACATTTTTTAATACTGTATTTCTTCCATTATTATTTATATAAAGATTTATAGATATTTTCATGGATGTTTTACAGATTCTAACAGCTGAAGTAATTTTTCGATATCCCATAACATGGCTATCCGAACGGGGATAACATTTCAAATACATAATTAATATCCATTTCAAATGTATACTGTTCTGCCCAAAATTAAGTGACCCCCTAAGATAATTTTTTTTTTGAATTGTCTCTTTTTTTTCCAGATAATCAACAAATCTATATGTTAATCATTTCATATCAAGTAAGGAGATAATGATGCTAGAAAAGAAGGGGGGCTACTCGGAGGAAAGCGAATGAGAAATGAGAAAATTTTAGAAAGAACCGGAACCCTAAAGAGGAAATAAGGAATAAAACTCTACTCCTGTTCAAATCACTGGGAGGAGTGTGAACTGGACGATAGGTGAATCTATCTATTCCCATTAAAAGAAAAAAATAGTAAATAAATTTTCAGGGTTTAAGCGAAGACATCAGAAGTATAGAGTTGAAGTAGACTTTAGAAAGAACCGGAAATCGTAAAGAGAATACCTCCATCTAAAACAAAGATTGTATCAGTTGCTGACTGAGATCAGGTACGTCAGTGGTCAGATGATGTTTCAACACAGCTTCGTTTGTCTTCGTCATTTGGAAATCCTTATAAACTGATGTTAGAAATGGAGTGAGTTCGAACTTTAAGAACGGAGTCACATCTTCGCACCAGCATTGAAAGCAGAAACTTAGGGTCAGTATGAAAATTTTGACCATCAATCTTTATACATTTTTCCAGCTCAACAAGCGTAGGCATTTGAGAACTTCTTTTCAGTGAGATCTCTAAAACGTTCACGTTATCAAGCTTCTGGATAGAGTGACCAATGTCCTTGACGATATCACAATTGATTTTCGCACCATCGGATGCTGTCAAATGATACTGATCGTAGTTTCGGCTGGCTTGGCTCAAAGGATTTTTGCTTAGAAATCCAATTGAAGACACGGGTCATATCAACAAGATCTCTCTTTCGACGTTCGCTAGTCAACTCTACTGCTTCTGTGGGCAAGACAGATCAATGCTGTCATGGCATCATGTACTTGGGTGCAGGTGTCCATCCTATTCATCCACATCAATCTCACTTATTTCGTTAATCCTCGTCAGCTTTATAGCTCGTCTCTTCTCTTTATAGATCTCACCATCACTTGTTCAATAATGATGTCAATTGACAAACCGGCTCGGTAACGGTCACTGCATCGTACGGAATGTAAACCGTACTCTGAGAATTGTTTATGCAGCCAAAGATGCTTTTCAGGGAATTCTAGCATCCATTGTAGGTACAATTGTGCTGTAATTCCATAGATGAATTCCTTGGTTGCTGCAAATAAATTTAGCATCCGCCCCCCACTGCCACAAGATGCAAATTCAAATCCTTTGTTCTTTCGGTACGAATAAACAACTTAGGCGTGTCGATATACTCAACGTATGCCAACTATAACTTTGCTGTTCTGGACTTACTCCTGAGTTCATGAATCAGAGTATTGATCACTCCTTGCAGCTTCACGACGGCTGAAGATTTGCCAGTGTCATCGGTACTTGATCTCATGAGCTTGGAGTTTTATTCTACAAATCGTTTATTTTATCCACATGAGACGGTTCTAGTTTCTCAGCCAAATGGAAAATAACTTGAAAACGCATCAGACTTGCTGCTCTCAAGAGTCAATATCTAAAATCTCAACTTCAACCTCCACAGATGCAAACCTCTCTTCCCTTTTAAGTCCGTGGAGGTGAATTACTTACAGATGACAAAATAAAGAACTTCTTTCCATTTCTATCAAGTCCATGTGGAGCTGCTAAACGTCTCGGATGTTGCGTCCTCTTAAATTCCTAACAAGAACCCAGCGATTAGGAACACAAGATCAACAGGGATAGGGAATGCAGATTCTGATAGTTGAGAAGTCAATTGGTCAGCATCTGCACATCAAGACTGCATGCAAAAAGAAGTCTGCTCGTAAGGCTCTTGAGACAGCCTTTCTGGAAATAATTTGTGACATTGAGGATGCTGTGGAGATAGTAGTCAGTAACTCTGATAACACAACACCATTCATAAAACTTTCCTTTTTTTACTGGAAGAAGTTTTGTTATGAAGTTTTTATTATTGAAACAAGCCTGAACCTAATTTCCTATCCTAGAAAAGATTTTGAAATCATATTTATATATAACTTTTAAGTCCATAGATGTGAATTGCTTACAGATGACAAAATAAAGAACTTCTTTCCATTTATATCAAGTCCATGTGGAGCTATTAAACGTCCCGTAGCGTCCAAGGGTGTAGAGGCCTCTCAAATTCCTAGCAAGAACTCAGGGGTTAGGAATACAAGAGCAACATGGATATTCAGATTTCTTAAACTTGTATTGCAGAACAACATTCCTCTTAGAACCCTAACAACACAAAAAAAATATGTCGGTAGCATAAATAATACAACAGGAAACATTTTCATCGGCAGCGTTCAAGAAGAAAAGTTAAAATACAGTCAGTGAACAAAATTCCTCTATTCCTTTATATTCACTCTTGTTTGCTCACTCTTGGTTGGTATTTTACTTCACTGATCCAGAACAGTACTCCCCTCAAGAGTCAATATCTAAACTTCAATCTCCACAGATGCAAATTTCTCTTCCCTTTTAAGTCCATAGAAGTGAATTACTTACAGATGACAAAACAAAGAACTTCTTTCCATTTCTATCAAGTCCATGTGAAGCCATTAAACGTCTCGAATGTAGCGTCCTCTTAAATTCCTAGCAAGAACTCAGGAACTAGGAATACAAGAGCAACATGGATATTCAGAGTTCTTAGATTTGTATCGCAGAACAGAATTCCCCTTAGAACCCGAACAACACAAAACAAATATGTCGGTAGCTTAAATAAGACATGAATCATTTTTATCCATAGCATTCAAAAAGAAAAGTTAAAATACAGTCAGTAAACAAAATTCCTCTATTCCTTAACATTCACTTTTGGTTGTTCATTCTTGTTATGGGGTCCTCCCCTTTTCATATAAGTGGACTCTACCAGTGTTACTTGGAGTGCTGCCGTTAAATACCCAGAGCAGACAGTCAGTGAGGGTAGTCGGATAGAGAGAGGATATACGGAGAGACAGAGGATATACGAACGGAGATAGTGTGAGATAACCTCTTGTAGAAGTCAGTTACAAGCACGTAGACTCTAAGGAAGTCCTACTTCGAGACTGTATATATCTATCTGTATTTGCTACTAACCGCGTTCCTGGATTTACTAACAGTATTACTCTTTGTATGATTGTGTAAATACATTTTATTTCTTATATTTAATTATTGCGTTTGTCATTCCTTGGAGACCGAATTCATCTCGGAATCAACAACAATTCTTGGTTGCTTTTTCACTTCACTGATCCAAAACAGTACAAATAAATTCCACTTTCAAATAAGTATATATTTTGAATGCTATCTATTAGCTAATACAATCAGATCTATAGGAATATGAAACAGTTACAGATTATATTACACAATCAGGAAATATAAGCTCAACTACTAAACATTATAATTGACATAATAATGATCGAATAACTCATAAGAATGATTTGAAATGGACTGTGCATGAAAACCGCGTGTAAACTACTCAAAGAACCATGTTTCACGTTAGAGCACCTGTTTTTTTTTGGGGGGGTGTAAAGAAAATGGTGCTCAGAAAAACGACCGTAAAAAAAAAATCCTCAAAATGGATGAAAGATGAGTTTGTATTTTCTTGCAAGATATAAAATTCGGCTTCAAATTAGTATAAAAAATGTTTGGGTAACATTTTTGTCCGGGTACACATATATTCACTCTAAATCGACCAGACTATACGCCCAAATGACTATAAAAGGATGAAGCATTTTTGCGGATGTTGACGTCATTCTGAGGACATTTTTATTTTTGGGGTCTAAATCCGTGAATATCTTTTGCACACTACATAAAATTCACGATTTTTAATCCAAAATGTTGAATGTGTTAAAATTCTTCAACTTTTGAACAAGAAAATTCTCAAGTTGATGTTAACAATTGCTGCAAAACATTGTTGATTTAAGATGGAATGATCTATTATGACATGTCTCTAATTTGTATTTAGATACATTGTATTTATTTTCAATTTTTTATAATTGTATTGTTTATCGATATTGTATATGATCCATTATTGTACATAATTAGACTATAATAAAATGTATATTTTATATGAATATTACCTTACGAAAATTGACATGTAGTAGATTACCCACCCCCCACAACATAGATTCGTGGGTGTCCCGTATCATAGATTTGGGGATGATGAGCGACCCTTACACATGCCCTGCCAACGAAGTTCAGCATTATGTTTTTGAAGTTGTAAAGCATGGGAGTGATCAAGACTTAACAGTAGGGATTCTGTAAATTCAGTCATACCATAGAAAAGCCAAAAAGTGCTTCTTTTAAGTTAAAAAAAATTGAAAGAACGTATTTCATATCGATTGCAAAGCTTATTACGTTATATCGTTATAATTATTATGTCTTATCTCCATAAAAGGCAGGATGTGTATGTGTGTGTGTGTGTGTGTGTGTGTGTGTGTGTGTGTGTGTGTGTGTGTGTGTGTGTGTAACGAATGCACGGCCGCAATTTTCGAGGGATTTTTACCAAAATTTACATGCACATGCTCCAAGTTAGCAAGAAGGCCAAGACCGACTTTGCATTTACCAACTCCCATCGATAGCGGAAATAATTGATTTTTTCATGCTTCTACGGCAGTTTTCATGTAGTTTGCAGCCATTTTCTACTGGCCAGAGTGAGAGCCTATAGCTGGCTGCCACGAATAGGCAGGAAGATTCTATTGGCCAGCGTGAGAGTCAACAGCTGACTAACACGAATGTTAACTAGCATGCTAGCATGCAAAAAAAAATCGATACATTCATCACAAGTGAGAAAAATTTAAATCTGCATGGCACTTTACTCCAATTGGCTCATTCGCTTGCTTAAACTCAACGTTGATTCTGATTCCGCAGAACTGAGTTGGGCGTGTAAAAGTATTTGTTGTTAACATTCTTTTTTCATTCGATTTTTCCAGTTACGAGTCCTTTTTTAAAGCTGATCGTTTTGTGTTCATTTTGTTTAGTTCTTTTTTCGTAACAGATTTAATGTTTAGTATAGAACTTAGAAAAAATTCGCAGTGTGAGATAGGCAATAAGTAAGGCATGTAGCAACATCAGCACGGCAAAGATCACTTCTTTAAAGACAAGGAAGGGCAAAAATATTTAGTCAAGTGATAGCGATTGCTGTATGAGTCGTACGATTTTTGAATCAAGCACGGACAACGCCGGGCCATGCTGATAGTTACTTAATATTTATTACTATTTGTCTCCTGTTGGGCTTAATAAAGAGGTGTAAGAGTGACGTAAACGTTATCAACGGAGAAAATGGAATCTGTATCTATCGGTAAAATAGTAAGCAATGTTGGTTGTTTTTGCTTTAAGAAAGTATATTTCTGATTCCACAAACCATGGAGATGGCAACATGGAAACAATGCCGTTCTACTACTTCCACCTAATATTGGGCCCCCCTATTATGAAGAAAAAGTACTCGTAAAATTCTACAATGACGACGCAGTTATTAGTAAGGAGCCTATGCTTCCTAGATTAGACAAAAATATTGATAGGATACGATACAAAGAGATACTCGAAATACTAGAAGAGGTTGATTTACACAGGAAAGATATTCCTGTAAGTCAATTTGATCTTCAAAAATTTAAATGCAGTGTCAATAACTATTATCTGTCAGTTTAATTCAACTTCTCTTATTTTCTGTCTCCTCAATAATGATCTTTTTCTCATATTTACACTCAGTAAACATCAGCGTCTTAGTAGCTTTTTTCCCTTGCTTCGGGTGAAATGGTTATAAAACAGATAGATAGATAGATAGATAGATAGATAGATAGATAGATAGATAGATAGATAGATAACGACTGTGCATAGATAGACAGATAGATAGAAAGAGACCGTGCATAGATAGATAGAAAGATAGATAGATAGATAGATAGATAGATAGATAGATAGATAGATAGATATGAATACACTGTGATAGATAGATAGATAGATAGATAGATAGATAGGAAAAGACCTTGAAAGATTTGTATGAGCATAGATAGATAGATAGATAGATAGATAGATAGATAGATAGATAGATAGATAGATAGATAGATAACGACTGTGCATAGATAGACAGATAGATAGAACGAGACTGTGCATAGATAGATAGATAGATAGATAGATAGATAGATATGAATACACTGTGATAGATAGATAGATAGATAGATAGATAGATAGATAGATAGATAGATAGATAGATAGGAAAAGACCTTGAAAGATTTGTATGAGCACATAGATAGATAGATAGATAGATAGATAGATAGATAGATAGATAGATAGGAAAAGACCTTGGAAAATGTATGAGTACATAGATATATGTAAATAGATAGATAGATAGATAGATAGATAGATAGATAGATAAGACAGACAGACAGACAGATAATGTGCTTGTTTGTGCGTAGATATATGAATGCAAATATGAGTATAATTACTTTGTGGCTCACCTATTAGACACGAAATATTGAATATTTGTACTACAAGGAGGTACCTACATTCACTGCCATTAAATGTCCTTAGAGAAATTCTAATCTTGTATTTCGATCGGGCCAGCCTGAAGCGGCCAACCTGAAGCAGCAAATCACTAACCCTCTTGTCTCCTGGGGATTTCCACATGTGTTAGTTGGCTGTGAATAACCCACACTCATCATACCAAGCTATATCCCTCCAGTCGCAAACGAGGTAAGCGTTCTCTACAGAATTCTCCCGTATTACTCTCGACAAGTTCCGAGCGAAAATTATTTCATCGACGAGTTGTTCCTAATGCTTCCGCTGCTGTGAACACACTTAAACGTTTTAGGCGAAAGTACATCGCATGTTGTCGATGTATATATACGTTTTCAATGCACTAGGAATTAACTTTACGTAACGTTTTTGCTATGAACTAAATAGCGCTTAATGTCATTTCCAAATCAATAGAGATATATAATAATGTACAATACGGTCGGTTTTGTGAAGTATTTTTTTTTATTTTATTTTGTCCTGAGTGTCTCTTTAGGCTTAATCTACACTATATGTCATGCAAACGAAAACAAACGTACATCAACCAGGAAAAAATCTCCCATCGCGTCTTTATAGTTATTTATTTCCAGTAAATAGAAATTTCATATTTTCCCAGAACCGGCCAACGTATCCAGGCAACAATTCTATAACAATCCACCGGTAAAAATATTGATAAGTTGTAAGGTCCACTCGAGGTAAAGAGCTACGGAGCAATAGGTAAGACGTATAGATTATGGAGATATGCGGGGAAGATAAAGGTTAATCCCAGACTTGAACAGATTAAGTTGATCGGTGAAGCATCCTCTTGGGAGTCGGTTCTACTATGGTGAGGCTCGTAAGAAGAAGCTGTTCGAATGGAACTTACATCTGACCAATGAAATACGAAGGTAATGAAGCTGGTTCTCTACAATGTGCGTGTCATGGCGGGTCTTAGCTGCGAAGGCTGGAATTGGTGGATCTAAGGAATGCAGTTCATCTGATCACTTTGCATGGAAATAGCGATAGAACAGCGAGAAGCTAGCGACGTTTCGTCTGTGAGAGAGGGGTTGTGGGGTTGGAAATAATTCATCATCCAAAAGGACACTTTTAGTCTCTTTCTAGATTAGAAAGTGAGAACTGGCCAGCTCCTGCCGAAATATGACAGTAGTACTCCATTTTTGGCCTGATCTAGCTCTTGTAAAAGATAGCAGTAGGAGTCAGGTACTTACTGGTGTGGTACAAGGGACCGATCATTTTTCCAGCATATGTAGCAATGGATCGTATGTACGAGTTCCACTTGATGTGTGAGTTTAGCTTAAATCCTAATAGGCGCTCAAGATACGAGGCCTCCCCTTAGAGGGATTCCTTTCATCTCGATGTGTGAAAATTCAGGGTTCGCTTTGTAATGATGGAACGTCACTAGTTTTTTCAGAGTTTAATATGACCAGTCAGTTTTCCCCCACTGAGCTGTTAGAGCAAGGTCAGAAGAGAGATCAGCTCCCTATCAGGCTCTGACCCTCTAGAGTTTTGGAGATGCACCCATGTACCGTTGTATTCTCAACATACACGTGGAGCCCACTTTAACACATTATGCACGATGGATGTTGATGTTATAATAAGGATGTGTCTAGCCCTCCTTCCTTACCAGAAAAAAAACCTGGTGGAGGAACCGGTTTAGTAACCGATGACCCAAACATGCGTCAAATAGTACTGCATTATATGGTGCCAGTAACACTCGCAGAATGATCATATAGTAATAACCTGATTATATATAATAGTAGTAAGATCCGTCTACCATTTTACAGCTCTTGTCTTTAGTCTTGTTGGGTGTCTAGCCACCCTTTTCCCGAGAACAATATGGCGGTGGGAATTGGTGTAGTCATCGCTGACCCAAACATACGGAAGATAGTACTAGATTAGATGATACCAGTAACACTCGTCGAGTAACGTGGCATGATCGTTGTCTACGAAAAAATTAAAAAAAATGATTTTAAAATAGTTACGTCCGTAGCCGTTCTTGCTGACTAGATAAGAGGAAGATTTTGAAAATTCACACGTTTCAATGATGGAAACAGGAATAAGGTATCATAAATTTTCAAAAAGGGAAAGAGTTTCCATTTGAGCATAAAAAAGTCTTTTACATTGAGGTCATAAACTTTTTCAAATGTTTTGAGTAAAATTCAAGCCCAACAACAGTTTTTTTGTATGAGAATAGCATTTTGTTCGAACTACTTTTCTTGTTTAAATATACCTTCATCATCATCAACCTCTTGACTTTTGTAATCGTGGGGCGGATCTGAATACAGAAGCCACACTAACTCTTTTCCACAACGGTGTATTAACGAGCGGCCATCTGGAATTCTAGTAAAGTTCTACTTGTCCATTTTTTGACATTGTCCAGCCAGTTTTTGCGTTGGCGTCCTCTCCTACGTCCACCTTCAACGGTGACTTGCATAGTGGTCTTGCACAGGCTGTCGTGCCTTGTAATGTGTCTAAACCATGCCATTTTTCTCCATTTGACAATGGCAAGAAGAGGTTCATGTTGTCCCACAAAACTTTCAACCATTTCCCACAAAAACTCATTGTTTTTTAATTCCCAATAGAAAATGCCAAGGAGTTTTCTCATGCATTTGTTCTCAATCGCTTGGATTCTTCTCACTGTGTCTGCCAACAGTGTCCACGTTTCAAATCCATATAGGAAAATGGACACTACCAGCGATTTATAGAGTCAGTAATTTGTTTGAAAGCTTATTTTGCTCCTCCATATTTTTTTCAATTTGACTATGGCTGTCAAGGCTGCAATGGTTGCAACAATCCGTGTGCGGACTTCCAAGTTGCAGGTACCATCTTTAGACAAGATTGCTCCTAAGTACTTCAAACTAGACACTTCCTCCAGTGAATTCCCATTAAATATACCTTCCTGGTTATTAATTGGATTGCAACTTGGAGTTTTTGCAAGCCAATCTACAATCATGAAGCACTTAATTTGAAACAATTAATCAGTAGCACCGTTTATAGCCCCGCTATCCTCCTGAAATGTAAACTTTTATTGGCTGTTGGCACAACGGAGAAGACACATCTTAAACAGTTTTATTTAAAACTGAGCGTTTTGTTTTTCTTACATAAACACAAATTCAGTTGTATTCGTAATTAGAAAAAATTCTCAGGGATTCTCCATCAAAAAGACTTTTCAGAAAAAAAAATGACTTGCTCGTCTTTTTGAAGATCTAGTATTCAAACTGGACATTCTAAACAAATCATCTCCTCAAAGAGAACCACACTTTTCCTATATTTAATATCCCAGTTTTCTTTTAATTCAATCAATGCGCTATTTCCTGTTCTAAGAGTAAAATTCACTTTTTATGCACCCAGACGACGTTGAAAACTGTGGTCACTTTACAGGATTTTCGTTACTGGGTGCCATACATCGGCGCGTTTCAATTATGTATAATATCGCTATGAATTATGAACAACTTACTCCAGGCAGAATCAATACTGAATGCTACGAAACTGCATTTACAATTAACTTACCATCTCTTCTATTAGTGTGTTTCTTAAATTAATTATATATTTCACCGCTATAAATTATGAATCAACTAACCAACGTTGAAGGGTAGGACACTTTTGTTTTTTAATCATTTCACCTAAAGCATGGCAACAGACTCACTGAGACTGAAAACATCTGAGAAAATTGAGAGGGCAATGAAAGAAAACGGTTCAAGGAGTTAAAAGATGAAGATTGACGTTCCACTTACATTTTTGAAGATTGTAGTTGACAGGAAAGGAAGCAGCTGGAAGAGAGTTCTAAAATCGTGAAGTGCGAGGAAAGAAATTATTAACAAAGAACATATGTTTGCATCTAACAATTTCAACAGTAAAAGAATGAGACCTATCTACCAATCTAGTACCGTGCATCAATTCTTGCAGTCGAGGTACCATAATGGTAAGGTCATCAAAGAAATTATCATGAATCTATTTGTAGAAAATGTACCGATAAGTTACGTTACGACGGTTGCAAAATGACTGAAAACGAAATGTCAGGACATGACATATAACATGTCAGATTCTTCTTTGAATTTACGAATGATCACTAAATACGTAGTAGAACCCCTAGACCATACATGGCATCAATTTCTAATGCACGGACAAATGGTAGATTTTGGAATTTTGTCTCCTTATGAGTTTTCGCTTGAGTTTTCCACCATCTGCAGAACGTCTTGTTTATAGCGATAAACTACATCTGGCAGCAAGGCCTCTGACCGGGTGGTTTTGAGGAGCGTAGAATCACCTCTTGCTGTTTTTCCCAGGTTTACCCCGAACCGTGGTGGTAGACCTGTTAGGGTCCCAGCGATGGGCAAATAGTAAACGCCCAAACTGAGGTCAATGCATGAAATATATAAAAATACATTAGAAATATATTTTCGTAGTAAAAAAAATTCCCAGCAATACATTATTAGTAAAAAAAAAATACCATCAATATATTACTGCAAAAATTTATCAAAGCTCGTAAGAAAGTAAAATTCCGAAATAATGATTTGCTACGCCGTTAAACAAACAAAAAAAAACTATCTGCAGTAGTTTGTTAACCAGCAAATAATAACCTTGCATCGTGTTTTTACAGATGATCAAAAATCGTTTTTGCATATCAGCAGAAAAAAACCGGAGATTATCACAAAATGAATTAATAAAAAATTATGACGGATTAAAAATAAATTAGAGATAAAGACATTATTTATATTATTCGGACTATTGTCCTCATCTTTGTCGCCATATTTATCACAACATTTCAGCCGTTGTACGCTCCGGCTTTCTTCAGGTGGTTGGAATTTTGAACTGAACCCTTTATTTCGCTCACTGGGTTAGACTGTTCTAGTTCTACGTGCCATGTTTGATGGATGTCAGCTATCAGTTATCTCCTGTTAATTTTCCCTCTGAAAGTTTTCCACAGCCTTAACTGGGTATTGAACTCACAATCTTTGGGTCTTGTCACTGGATCTAACCAATACCTTTATCCACTGTGCCATGTGTCCTTGAGGACACATGGCACAGTAGATAAAGGCGTTGGTTAGATCCATCAAACATGGCGTTGATTAGATCAAACATGGCACGTGGAACTAGAACAGTCTATCCCAGTG